GAACTCGAACTCAGTCTCCCCCTCATGAGAGTGACATAATTGCCGCGTCACTCACGACTGTCACAACCCCGTCAGTTCAGGCGGTTGGTGTAAAAACCGGGCAACAGTGTCGTTGAGATCAGTCTGTTTTCAGTGTGGAGGTTGTCGATTTTAAAGGTTCAATAGTAGTGTTGCTTGTGAAAAGAAATACAATGATTATAGTCCCTATTTTCGCGCATGCAAACTCTCAAGCAGGGAAAAACAGCGTAAGAAAATTAGTGGCAGTGGTCAATCAATTTGACTTATGGTCGCTTTGAACCATTATCTCATTTTGTATGTATAAGAGCATGCAAGAAGTGCGACGACATAAAATTAGATGAATCGATATTCAAAATTCCGAGAATTATGGCTTGATAAGAAAACATCTACTTCAGAAATTTTACAAATGTATTTATTTATGGCAATTCTTACTTTTTAGAAATGATGAAGGAATACAGAAGAAGAGCAGATCTGGTACCACCCGTGTCTAATCCCCTTATTTCTGGAGTTTCTCTATGTTGACCTAATGCAAGCACTGACCAAGTTTCAGAAAAATCTGTGGAGCATGCAGAAGTGCGGAAAGTACGAGCCATCTAAATTCATTCCTAATACTCTCTTGAAATTTCCTCCGCGTGATGTTATTTGACGCGAAAAGCTAGGAACCTTAATTTTGGGAGAAGACAGCGTTAACAACAACAACAACAATCTTTATTTGTACTCTGTCTAGCCTCTTGCCTTGCTAAATCAGAGAGCCAAGCGCATTGCCGATTTCTGTAAACATGAAAATCTGAACTGCACAAACTTTGAAGGTTTGCAGTTTGCTTCCTCAAAGACCTCAAACCTCCAAGGTTTCGTATTGAGCACCTGGTATTGTGACAAAATTTAAACATTATCCAGCAGTTTTTGTGTCAAACTCTTTCCACGTGAATTTCAAGGGTCTATCGATTTTTGCTCCGGCTTATCAAAGTATAAACCTGTCTAAGTCTGCGACCCTCTTGTGCACGGTTGCCACAGATATGTGATGATGATAATAATAATAACAATAATAATAACAATAATAATAACAATAATAATAATAATAATAATAATAATAAACTTTATTACCGTGTCTAAAATGTTTAGCTGAGGGGAAGCG